TGAGCCAAGCTGCATGGTGGCCTCCATGAATTGGGAGACTCCAGGCAGGAACACAACCTACTGACCCCTTGGCTTCAGCCCTAGGACTCCTGACTTCGAGGGCTGAGAGGAGGTTTGCATTTCTGGTAATTTGTTACAGCAGCAATAGGAAGTTAATGCATTGTATCTGTTCATCTCCAAACCTTTGAAAAGTAACCCTGTTGTATTGGCCGCCTCCTCCACGCTCCTGCTCCTCCGCCTCCTCCACGCTCCTGCTCCTCCGCCTCCTCCACGCTCCTGCTCCTCCGCCTCCTCCACGCTCCTGCTCCTCCACCTCCTCCACGCTCCTGCTCCTCCGCCGCCTCAACGCTCCTCCTCCTCGCTCCTCCTCCTTGCTCCTGCTGCTCCTCCTTGCTCCTGCTGCTCCTCCTTGCTCCTGCTGCTCCTCCTTGCTCCTGCTGCTCCTCCTCGCTCCTGCTCCTCCACCCTCCTGCTGCTCCTCCACCCTCCTGCTCCTCCTCCTCCACCCTCCTGCTCCTCCTCCTCCACCCTCCTGCTCCTCCTCCTCCACGCTCCTGCTCCTCCTCCTCCTCGCTCCTGCTCCTCCTCTTCGGTGGCTCCTGCTGCTGCTCCTCCGCGCTCCTGCTCCCCCTCCACGCCCCTCCTCACCCTGCTCCTCCTCCTCCATGCTCCTGCTCCAGCTTCTCCTCTATGCTCCAGCTCCTTGCTCCTGCTCCTCCTCCTACACGCTCTTGCTCCTCCTCCCTTTCCCTGCACAGCCCTTCCTTTTCCCACTTCCTCCCTATTTTCTGGACAGCTTTCTTTCTCTTTTTCTCCTTTCCTGTCCTTGGGCAAACTCCTTGAAACTCTGGTTGAAAGTCACTGGTCTTTGGGGCCACCTATTTGACAGACGAGCACGCTGAGGCCCAGGCCAAGTGACTGAGTCAGACTGCGCAGAGGCTGACCCAGGGCGGATGTCATCTCCTGCCTCCCGTACCACTGGGTTGTCCCTAATGGAAGAGAATCAATGATGCTGCATTACTGATCTCCAGGGAAAGTAGGTCGATAACAGGTTATAAACATGGGAACGTTTTGGAAAATCTGTCGTCCACTTGTCAGTTCCATCTCTCCTGCCTGGAAGATGTAGAGAGATCTTGCCTTCAGCCCACCCTCATCCCATAACAGGATAGAGGACAAGGGCAGAGACCCAAGTCCTGTCGGTGCCCTCAGGAAACCCCCGTTTCCTCCTCATGGTGGAAGTGGAAACCATCCCGCTGGATGATCTTCCCGGGGAGACCCTCCACCCTGAAAGCAAGGAATCTGGTTTGAGCGCACACACATTCTTGGTGCCATCATTTTCTGCAGCTGAACGCTGCGTACGTGGCCCATTAATCTTGCTAGTCCGGTGTTACTGGGTCCTGGGAGTTTCTGTGGGTTGATGGCAAGTGTTTACCATTGTGTTTAGAGAGGAAAATAGAACTTCACTGTGTCGAAATCAGATGATAACCATTGCCATGTGATTCCTTGGATTGGTTGGGGCGGGGGATGCTCAGGCTTTTTCAGAGGGGGAAGTTCTTGTTTGAGACAGTCTCACTTTGTTGCCCAGGCTGGAGTGCAGTGGTGCGATCTTGGCTCACTGCAACCTCCGCCTCCTGGGTTCAAGCAGTTCTCCCTGCCTCAGCCTCCCGTGTAGCTGGGATTATAGGTGTGTGCCACCACGCTTGGCTAATTACAAAAACTTTTCAGGCAGGGTTTTGCCGTACTGACCAGGCTGGTCTTGAACTCCTTACCTCAAGAGATCGGCCCACCTTGGCCTCCTAAAATGCTGGGATTACAGGCTTGAGCCACTGTGCCCGGCCCGATCCTGACATCTTTTAAAGCTGCCTTCATGTATCAAAAGCCAGTCTATGGTTTGAAAATCAGGCTTGAAGAGCCTAAGAGGAGAGGGATATACTTCAGCTAGGTAAATAACTATGCATATGTTAAAAATGTGGGCCAAAATCTACCCCAAATATTAACTCTTCTGCTTGGCGTTTTATATCCATTTATGGTTACTCTTTCAGTATTAAAATTTTTAAAGATTCTTTTGATAATTGTGGACAAATTACTGTTAAAACTGAGCTGCATTTGTAACACTTTAAAGAAGTAATTGGATGACTTTGTTTTTCTCGGAGGCATTTTGAATAGTTATATAATTAATGTTTCTCTCTTTGCCAGAAATCTTTTTTTTTTTCCCCAGAACAGAAACCTGAAAAGAAACATTCCTTTGCATTAAGTGCTATTTCACTGTGTGACAATCAAGTTTTGAATGTGAGAACAAGATCATCATGTATTTTTGGGATAATTCTTGCTTAATAGCGATAATACTAAGTGTTAAAATAATGGAACAATTTGTTTCTTTGAAAATTACTATTTGCGTGCTCCTCAGGTGGGAGCTGATGAGAACGTGGTTGTAAAAATTAAATTGTATTTAGCTTGTATAAAAGAAGTTTAAAAAAAAAGCTTTTTTGTTTTGTGCTACTACTGAAGTTGCTTAGCTGTGGAAATGAGGTGATTGCAGGCACCCAGAATTTTATCTCCTTGACTTCCACGATGAGAAGAAATTCTCCAAGAAGCACAGGAATCTGACTTTCTGATATTGAGACTCCTAGGCGTCAAGCCCCATGGAGGGGGTGGTGATTACGTGAGCATTGGCGTTGATGTGGGCATCCTCCAAGCCGGACGCAGGGAGTAGGGAAGGGCAGAAAGAACAGGCCCCTCAGGAGCCATGAGAAAATAAAGTGTTGGCATCAGTGGTGAGGGTTGGTGTCAGGGGCCAGGAAGAGGTGGCAAAGGGGAGCATGTGCCTCAAGGCAGCCCTGGAACTTGCAGTCCCTGCAGTGAGGTCTGGTCTGCAGGGGACATGGACGGCCACGCGGTGAGACCCACAGACAGCCTGGACTTGGCTGCCTCAGAACTCTGGTGGACGTTGCAAACGGCCCCACAGGGTTGCAGTGCACATTCCTCGGACAGAAAGAAGACGCTTGGAACTGTTCCCGGCACGAAGCCAGCGCCCTGTGAACAGTGGCCGCTGCTGTTGTGACTGAGTGCCGTCCAACTGGGGACATTTGCTCTGCTCAGTTCACTTAATTGGGCCAGGAATGGGGTTTCCCTCCCTCCAACAAGCTTGACGCATTGAACGAGGGCTCAGTTGATAATGTACTCTGTAAATATGCTCTCCTGGCTAGAGTGAGCAAATCCCAGGGAGCGGGTGGTTCTTCAGTATTAGCCAGGTGTTTGTGGCAGGGCCAGCTGTGCGGCTGCCAGAGCGAATGTGACCAGGAAGCTTCTGTCCCCCCGAGGTGGCCAGCGTTCCTGTTACACGTGCCATAGGCAGAAGGTGGGCACTGCTGGGGAACTTGCTCATGTTCCTGTTTTCTGATTGGTAATTCAAGGTTTCTGAGCATCCTATATCGAATTTGTACATTGCTGAGACTGGACACATTTCAACGCTTTGTTTTTTTCTGCTTTTCAGATCTATACAACCTAGCATTTGGCTGTGGCTTTCAGGACAGGCTGGATGCAGAGTGAAGTCCTCTCCTCACTGTCAATGTTAGCAGATGTCGTCTTGTATAAACTTCGTATTTCTTGAGACTCTCAATTAGGTTTTAACTAGACTCTTAAAATTGCCATGCACATAACTCTACCATTTACAGTCGTGAGCTAACATGGGTTTTTGGTTTTACTTTGATGAATGTTTAACATTTGCATGCTGGATGTGGGGGTGGAGGTCATTTATCTGCTTTTCATTGCCTTCTTGGTTATACTTAGTGACTTTCAAGTAAGGTGTGGAAGGCGTGGTACAGGGTGAATTGCAGGCCGCACTGTGGCGCCGTGGAGGACAGGTGCGGGCTGCAGTGGTGTGCACAGTGGATGAGAGACAAGAGGAGACTTCCATCCTTGAGGGAAACACACAACAATTTAAAAAACTGATCATCTAGCTTACATGAGGTCCAACTAATTCAGTTTGCAAAGTTGAACTTCCAAGTTAATTTAGTATTTTTTCCCCTAAGTCATTAATTTAGTAGCTTATGTTTAAATATATTTCTTTTGTCTAAAGCAAGTCTTAAATTCTAAAATGAATGACTAAACATGTAATAATTTAGGCATACAGCACCTGAAGGGAAAACTGCCAGTATGCTAAAATATTGGATACAGATGCTTTTAAAAAAATAATGTAGCATTCTTGCAATGCATGAGTTTTTAGCATGTAACTTGGTGAGTAATTTTGAGCTATGTTTGTAGGAATGTGTATCTTGAATACTTGAGGCCACCACTGCAGATGTGTGCGTGAGATGTATAAATACTGAATGTTCTTCTACCTTCCCTTAAATGAAAAACATTAGCTCCCTTTTAATTATATTTTTATTTTTTTGAAGTGGACTCTTGCTCTTGTTGCCCAGGCTGGAGTGCAGTGGCAGAGTCTTGGCCCACTGCAACTTCTGCTTCCGAGGTTGAAGTGATTCTCCTGTCTCAGCCTCGTGAGAAGCTGGGACTACAGGCACCCGCCACCACACTCAGCTAATTTTTGTATTTTTATTAGAGATGGAGTTTTGCCATACTGGCCAGGCTGGTCTCAAACTCCTGACTTCAGGTGATCTGCCCACCCCGACCTCCCAAAGTGCAGGGATTACAGACATGAGCCACTGTGCTCGGCCAGCTCCCTTCTGTAATGATTTATACAGTTTTTTTTGTTTTTTGTTTTTTTTGAGACGGGGTCTCACTGTGTCGCCCAAGCTGGAGTGCAGTGACGCAAATCTAGGCTGACTGCAGCCTTCACCTCCTGGGCTCAGGTGATCCTCCCACCTCAGCTTCCTGAGTAGCTGGGAATAGACACATGTCACCACGCCCAGCTAATTTTTTTTTCTTTTTTGGATATTTTAAATAGAGACAGGGTTTTGCCATGTTTTCCAGGCTGGTCTCGAGCTCCTGGGCTCAAGCGATCTGCCCGCCTCGGCCTCCCAAACTGCTGGGATTACAGGCCTGAGCACCACATCTGGCCCATTTTTTTTTTTTCCTTCCTTCCAGGATTAGAAGTCGACTTTCAGAAAACCCTTCAACCTTGCAAACTTAATTTTCCATAATAATATGCCTCTAGGATAAAAACAAGACCGAAACAAAGAAGTATGTGTGGACTGCAGTTAAAAATTTTCAACACAACATAGCTTAGGAGAGTTGACATTTACAAAGAGCAGGAGGCCCGTTCAGTGCCTTCTAGGCATTGGGAATGGCGGTCTGTGGGCGACCCTAACGTGTGCGGCGTCCTGAGACGTGATCGTGATGCTCACGCTTTTCCCGAGGGCCCACGGGGAGTACCAGGGGCTCTTCTTCTGCAGTCGGCCAGCCAGGCAGCAGCTGCTGGAGAAGGAACAAACAGTAAAAGACCGATGTACATGGTGTTATTGTGGCAGAGAAGTTAAAACCAGGCTCACTCTGTTCTTACAGTTTTAAAAAACTAATAATGAATTCCTTGAATATGTATTGCATTTCAGGATTTTAAAGCAGTTGCGGGTGTGTCTGTGTCTCTCTCTAGCTCCCGTTCAGGTGCTCCCTGTGAAGACAGCTCAGAGATGCCACCTTTCCTTGTTGAGGTGACAGGCCCTGGAGAGGTGTGAACCCCGTGTTGGGGGGTGGGTGACTGACCTGGGGGGAGGCTGGCTCAGCGGTGGGGATCCACCCCCACTCCACATTTCTGTAGGGAATCCACAGTTCTAAGTCTTTATGATATGGGTAAAATGAACCTGGAAGAGGTGTTATTTTTTAAGAAGTAAGTGCCATGCTCTTTTTTCCTCATACTTCTCCGTGTTTAAGCAGCATTGAAGGATAAGGCACTACTAGCATGTTGGTCTGGAAACAATCTTGTTGGTTATTTTACCTTGAATCTGATATTAAGGTTGCCTGGTAACGGAAGTTTTCCTTTAACAACATGGAACTCTGTTGAATCTGTTGCCCCATTGGCTGAGCAGTCTGAAGTCAGTACCGTGGCAGCTGAAGAGGCCTTGGAGGAAGCCGCTGGATGGGCAGGAGGCACCCCCGTTGATTGAGGGAGAGAGGCGCAGTTTGCAGGGACCGCACGTGGCACTTGTGGCTCTCTTCTGCCCCCTGCTGGTTGGCCAAGCGGCCTCGCCACAGTGTGCTCAACGTGAATGTTCACCGGGCAGGCCAAGGCTTTTGCTCCAGAAACACTGACTTCAGAGAGGGCCGGCCGTGTGTGTTGAGCATGGCAAGAAAGACTTACGTGTGTCTTAAACCTCTTGAACAAAGCAAGTTGATGTTTCAAATGCATCTCGAAGGCTAATGACTTTGCTATGGTCAATATTCAGGAGAAAATGGGGTTTGATGAAATAGAAAGACAGGAGTGGCAAGTGAGGTGTTTGTTCCCTGTATGACTAAGCGATGTCCTGGCCGTTCCACACCATGGCCTCTGAGTAGCCAGCGTGTAGATACTGGGTCAATTTAGATGGGACTCCTAGAGCTGTCAGCCACCCGGGAGAAGCACGAGGAGTTCTGTGTGCCCATGGTCATGGTTCCCGCTACTGTGTCCAGCAATGTGCCACGTTCCGATTTCAGCATCGGGGCAGGCACAGCCCTGAACACTATCACTGAGGTAAGTCCCTGTGCGCCCAGCCAGGCCGGCACCGGCTGACGCTAACCCGAGGGCCCCGGCCCTTTTTATCTACCAGTGCGCTAGAAACAGCCTTTTACAAATACCCTGAATGAGAGCTTCTCCTTCTTTTTTCCCCCCTAGAAAAGTAGGTTTTTAGACTCTGAACATGTTTGATATCACTCCTAAAAAAGTTTGACCGCCTCTTCTGTGTGGCCACCAGTGGGGACGTAGTATGGCCAAGACCCCGTGAGTACCTGCAGCGCTGAGGATGGCTGGGCTGCAGTCTCCTGTGATTGCACTCAGCCTTAAAATCCCCCCTCCCTTTTTTTTTTTTTTTTTTTTAATGCTCAACCTAAACTTTCTTTGAACCTCCAATACCCATTATGATGAACCCCTGCCTTGATGCTGAGGGTAGAAATTGAACTGAATATTTTATAATTGTAGTCATTGTCCTGAACGTACCATTGCATTTGTTATCTCTTTGGTCTTGGCTGTTGACCTCATTTTCCAGTTTGTAAACTGGGGATGTTAAATTGCATCTAAGGCAATATTGGGGCTATTTTAGTTTTTTTGCCAAGAGACAATAATAAAACATAGAAGTATATTCTTCTGTTTTTTTTTGTTTTGTTTTCTTTGTGAGACAAGGTCTTACTCTGTCACCCAGGCTTGAGTGCAGTGGTGTGATCTCGGCTCACTGCAGTCTCGACTTTCTGGGCTCAGGTGATCCTCCCACCTCAGCCTCCCAAGTACCTGGGACCACAGGCACATAACGCCATTCCTGGCTAAAAGAAATGTATGCCTATCCCCATGTTTGTGTGTCACACTTGGTGATTCACGTGGGAATCTGAACCGTACCTAACGCAGGAAGCGTTTCATTTTTTTAAAACTTGATGTCTAAAATTTTTAAGAAATTCTCAAGTTCTAATTTTCCTTGTGCGACTTGGTTCTCACGAATATTTTTCAGTTTTTTTTTTTTTTTTTTTTTTTTTTTTTTTTTTTTTTTTTTTGGCTTTTTTTTCCCCAAAATTTTTTTTTTTTTTTTTTTTTTTTTTTTTTTTTTTTTTTTTTTTTTTGGTAAATCCTTGGCATGAAACTTATTTGTAGCACTGGTAAAAAAAGATTTTAACATACAGCTCATATGGTAAGTAATGCTTAGCACTCGTTTCTTGCTTTTCTGAGCGTCTTAAGCTTCACTTTCTTTGTGAAGGAAACCTGCCCAGGTTTTCCCATGTTCACTGGCTTTGGGGGCAACTTTCACCTTATTTTTGGCAGTCACTAATCTCTGACCTAGATGTTGCTTCTGTAATCCTGGTGACGGGTGTCACGGTTTTGCTGCTGTGGGTCCAGCCCGGCTCTGGGCTGACCTTCATGCTGGGAACGTGAACATGAGTGTCTGTTTCACAGAGGGGATTCCAGCATGGCTTTCACTGCTCTTTCACCAGCTTTAGCTGGATTTTTGGGTCTGTGAAAGTTGGGTGTGCAATGGGAGGGATTGAAGCTTCTTTTTTAATCATTACCTAATTGGAACTTGCCCAGAGGGAATGGGTGAGAATTTGAGAGCAGTCACTGCAGTTAGCTGAGCATCTGAAGATGTGGGACAAAGCTGGTGTTGATATCCCTGTGACTTTTTTATTTTCAAGTTTCCACACAAAGCATAGATCCTTGTGGTATGTGATGTACACTTGCAGGCATGAAGAAAATCTCTTTAATTCCAGGGTCCTCCACTATAACTTTTTTTTTTCCCCCAGATTGTAAATATGTAACAAATGTGTAGGGTCAAAATTTGAAAACCAAAATACTTGAGCCAAACACCCCAGAGATGATCAGTTCCACCCGCTTTGACTTCCCTTGGAGGTACTGTGTGATTTATTATGCGATTGTTTTAAATTCAGTTTTTCATTCATTCGAGTTTCTCAAAGCTAGGTTAAACAATTTCGTTTTGTTTTTGTTTTTGTTTTTGTTTTTTTGAGACAGGGCCTCATTCTCTTTCCCAGACTGGAGTGCAGTGGTGCAATCACGATTCACTGCAGCCTCGACCTCCCAGGCTTAGGCGATCCTCCCACCTCAGCCTCCTGAGTAGCTGGGACTATACATGCATGCCACCGTGCACGGCTAACTTTTTGTATTTCTATAGAGACGAGAGTCCTCCCTATGTTGCCATGGCTGGTCTCAAACTTCTGGGCTCAAGCAGTCCCCCTGTCTTGGCCTCTCAAAGCACAGGGGTTACAGGGATGAGCCACCGCCCTGGGCCTTAAGTTAACTGATTACAAGAGAGAAAGAACTGGAGCATGTAGTTAGTTGAGCCTCCCTTTGGCCAGGCACAGACACCTTGGTAAGTGTGTGTGTGTGTGTGTGTGTCCTCATTGCCCTTCTGATCCTGAGCTCCAAGGAATGAGGCTGTCTTGGGAGTGCTGTGGTTCTAGTCTCATGATGGGTGAGTGATGCCGGCTGAGCTGATCGAGGTCACCCTGGCGAATGCTGCAGCTGCTCGGGAGCCGGGGCAGGAACGAGAAAGCCGCCGAGGATCCCTCTGTGGACCCCTGAAGGGAGAGGGACCGAGATGTGAACATGGCAGCTGTTTTCTCCAGAGCCCTGTTTACTGACGGCCAAACAGGCTGAATCCTGAGAAGGTTTGAATTTGGGTCTGAACTGGGCTCATCTGGCCGTAGAACAGGAGCTGGTGACGAACACGGGAAATCAGGGCATGAGGCGACTTGATGTGGACGACTCCTGGTCACTCCAGCCACTGTCCTGAAGCCGTCGGAGGCTGAGGATGTGTGGGAGTGAGCGTCTCTTCCCTGTCCGGCCACACCCTCTGTGACCCGTAACTCCTGGCCTGGCCCTGGGCAGCATTTATGTTTGGGGTCTCTGGATGGCTCCAGGTATTCAGTCAATTTGGTAATTCTCATGGGGTGATTGTGACCCAGGGGATGTTTGCACCATCCAGGGAGGTTTCTGGTTAGAACTGGGAGAAGGGATGCTCCCAGCACCTGTGGCTGGAGACAAGAGACGCTGCGGAAAGTTCCTCCAAGCACAGGGCGAGCTCCATAGTAGGCGTCTGGCTCAGGACCTGGCCGTGTTGCACTTCAGAAGCCCTGGGTGGATCTGATGTGGTGAAGTCGTCATCTTTGGACACGTGCGTCCTCATCCTCACTGATGATTTGCTTCTTGCCAGCATTGATGCTTAGCTGACGCCACAGCCCCTCAGAATCTATGCAGTGCTGGCGAGTGGGTCTTCCGGGCAGAACGGAATGAATGAAATACCTCAGAGCAGGTGTTACACATTCTCGGGATGTGGCTGCAGGGAGTTTCCATTGGACTCCTTTCATTCCTTAGCGCTGGCTGGTACATTCTGTCCTGTAAGCTTGATCAGGTCACATCAGAAACACAGTAGTTGGGTGCCATGCTGCTGTCAGGTGTCGTGAAGGTGGCGGTGACCACAGCCTTGTAATTCCTTGTCATAGTGGCCCCACCACAGACCCAGGGGCCCGACTGTGTTTGGTCTTGAGAGTTTTATGCTTTTCTGGGCAGGGTCTCCCCTGTCGTGAAGCTTCACTCCCCCTTTTTGGAGACTGAAGGAAGGTAAAAGAGCGATAGGGAAGGATGGGAGAGAGGATTTGCAGCAATGTGGCCATTTCCACAGATTTCAATGTGGAGTTAAGAAGCTGAGACCCCCCCCCACCTGCCCTCTTGTGTGCCTCAGGCCCCTCCTGGCCCCAGGTCACCCACACCCTCTGGCTTCCAGCAAGGGCTTCTTGGAGAAGCAGCCAGCTCCCCGCAGCCAGTCTTGGTCCAGCCAGTCTTGGTCAGTCCTGAGCTAGGGTATTCCACAGTAAAGGAGTGACATCACCTGTCTGAAAAGCATAAGGAGCCCCGCATGTGGTGGTCCTGAGGGGGCCACATCCTGGGCACCAGGCCAGTGAGTATCCCCAGATGAGTGTTTCTGGCTGGGAAGCAGGCTGGCATTTGGATTGAAGTCCTGCAAAAACTGCCACGGCCAGAGCCTGTACAGAGCAGCCCAAGAGCTGGGCATATGCTGGGCCTGGGTGGATGTGGAGGCTGTGCCATGGGGGCACGGGGGCCCCTGCTCACCGCTCACCTCGTGGTCACCCAGCACTGACGCACCCACCTTTCCCTCCTACCCACCACGCTGTGAACTCACCTGCCACGGATCTCCGCTCACTGTCCGAAGCCCTCTGCCCACACGGGCTCCCGGCCTTGGGATGCTTTGGGTTGCACCAGGGCTGCAGAGCCTGGGTCGCTCACTGTCCAACTCTCCCGGGGAGATGTGGGCCCCGCCCTGCGTCCCAACAGTAGCATTTCTGCAGCAGATGTGGGGATATTCACAGGAAGAGGGACACGTCCAAGTCCATAAATAGTTGATTTTGCCACCAAGTGGATGACAAAACACCTTGCTGTGTGGGGCCGCTGGGAGGTGGGAACAGTGGGCGTGTGGACCTGTCCGGCTGTTACCTTGGTTAACACCCTGAGGTGGAGTCTGAAAAACCCCGGTGCACACGGGCTCGAGAACCGCTCCCCTTTCTGACACCAGAGCCCATTTCCCAGTGGAACCCCAGAGCAGCAACTCAGGTTCTTGCTCGCGTGTGTGTCTTTGTGTGCGGCTTCCCGAGGGCAGAAATGGCAGCCTCCCGCCGGAGAGCAGAGATGCGGCCCGGGGCTGAGTGTGGCCCCCCGGTAATCCAGCTGCCTGCCTCCTTCCCTGCCTGCGCGCGGAGGCTGCCTCTGCACAATGATGGCGGTCACTTGGTGTGGTCCTTACAGCTGTGGGCCCCATCCCACTCATCCTTGCCTGTCTGCAGAAAGCTACAGGACTGGCTTTGCCTTTAAACGTTCTGACCGCCCTGGCCTCCCTTACCCACAATGAGATGCCGAGAGCTGAGCTGTCCCGCTCGTGACTAACTCGCCACTGCCTGCAACCTGCTCTGTTTCTTACCTCACACCCACCCTGCTGTGCTGCCTGCAGGCCTCCCCTTTCATGAGGACCTGGACTCTGCCCAGGCAGCCTCCTGTGTTGCTGAGGCCTGTCCTGCTCCCGCACAGCCTCCAGAGCTCCCCGGGCCCCTTGACCTGCATGAACGGGCTTTCCCTGGTGACTTGGGCCCCTCCTGTCCCTTCCTGGACCTCAATGCAGGCCCTGGGGCTGGCAGGTGAGCACCCAGCACCCCTGCTAACCACTTGGCCCCGCTGCTTCAGGCTTACAAGAGCGCATGTGATATGGCCAAGGCACAAGGCTGCCACCAGGAGCTTTGCCTCCCCCGTGTGTGGTGCCGGCCACAGAAATAAGCCTGGGCTTATTTATTGACCAGGACAGACGGACGGACGGACAGATGGCTGGCTGGGGAATACTGTGCTTATGTCATTCAGAGACAAGCATTTCTTGAGCGCCTGCTGTGGGGGCTCAGCCGGGTACTGCTGACGGTGCAGTGGTGTAAGCCCAGCCCACAGTTCCTGCCCTCACGGAACTCGCAGCCTAGTGAGAACTGCAAGTCAAATAACCACGAGGTAACTGCAGGGAGAGACACCGGGGTGATTTCTATGAAGAGAGGACATGGGGTGCCCCGAGAGCCCCTGACAGAGGGAACTTTGGTCCTAGAAACCAGGCGGCGTTTTCCTGAGGAAATGACATTTCCCTCTCCGTCAGAGCTGAGGAAGGTGCCTCTGTGTGTCCTGTGGCCGCTGTGACCCTGACCACACACCTGGGGTTGGAAAATAATACTCACTCTCCCACAGCTCTGGAGGGCGGGAGCCATAGGCTGAGACTGGAGTGTTTGCTCCAGGAGAGTTCCCCTCATGGCCCATTCAGGTGCCCAGAGCTGTGGGCCTTGCATGCTTTGTTCCCGGGAGCTGCCGCCTCCCATGTGGGAGTGCAGCATCCTGCTCCAGGGCCTTCAGCCTCTGCACTCCTCATCTTCTGATGCCAGTGGTGGCACTTAGGGCACACCTGAGTAGTCCTCAGGATTCACCTTTATCACCGCATGAGGAAACATTCCCAGGTTCCAGGGATTAGTACCGGGATTCCTTTGGGGGCCCCTCACCCACCCACCCACCCACCACTGTGCCTGAATGTGATGTACACAGCGACCAGCATATCCAGAGGTCCCAGGAGGACCTGGTGTCAGAAGCAGACGGGGCCAGGGATTCCCGAGAAAGGCTTGCCGTGTACTTAAAGTGAGCAAGGGGATTTGAATGTTTTTTATAGACGGGTCTCCAGTCTGTGTGAACAGATTGCAGGGTGCGGGGGTGGGAGCTGAGGCCCAGGAGAGGGCGCTGCAGCCCGGACTGGTGTGTGGGTGGGAAGGCCGCGGATGCATTTCTCCGCTGTTTTTCTCCCCGCTGAGCTTGGGTCCTCGTGGAGGGCGGATGGCAGACATTTCACTCGGGGACCTGATGCCTATGTATCAGAAAGGCTTCCCCAGGCGCCTTGGTCTAAGAACCACCGTCTGCCTTTGAGTAGAGTTTCTATAAACGTAACATTCACCGATGGATGGAAGATGGCCACAACTCTAAAATCACAGGGAGCTTTTCAGAAGAAAATAGAAGAGCACATCTGTTCCCATGGACTAAGCTGGCGGGTGACAGCCCCCTAATTTCTCATCCCCCCGAGAGATTGTTTTTGCCATTCAAAACAGGAGAGGGTGACATGACTCCAGATATGGAAGAAAGTGCAAACCCCCGTGTGATAGTCTAATATGTAGAAAGGAAGAAGAGATACCAATCCCCATATCGCAGGAGGGGTACACTCTGATATGTTTCCAAATATGCAGATATTTGGAAATCACATTCCCAATATCGCAGCAAGGGATGTACACCCCCGTGTGAGATGGTTCTTCATAACTTTCCGAGGCAGAGGGGAATATTACATATATGGCGGAAAGTGTACACCCCCCCAGGGATATTGTTCCCATGATCCTGGAGGGAAAGGGATGTTACTTTAAATGGCGCAGAAGGTGTACACGCCCCCAGTGATATTGTTTCTAATTTCCAGGTAGGTGAGGATGTGACACCCAATATCGCAGGGAGTAGATACAATCCTGGGATACTGTTAACATTGAAGAGGATGATACAACTTCCAATACAGATGAGTGTACATCCATCCAGGAAAGAGTTCATAATTTTCAGAGGGGGAGATACTACTCACAAAATCGTAAACAGGCTGTGAGTCCACCATGTTTCCTAATAGCTAAGAGGGGGAGAGGGGGTGGCTATTAGTCCCCACCTCGCAGGGAGTGCCTCACCCCCCTCACAATATCACTGTTGATTGAACACCCCCTGCAGTGCAAAGACTTTCTTTAGCTCTTGAGGACATCACATGGCGGGGAACATCCCCTGCACTTTTGGGAGTAACAATATCTCAGGCGGATTGGACAACCCCTGTGATATTGAGAGGAATATCCTCTCCCAACGTGGATATTAGGAGCCATATCACCGGGGGCATGTTCACTTCAATTTTGGTAGCGATATCATCCTTTCCCCCCTGGGTTTAGGAAACAATGTGACAGGCGCGGTGGACACCCCCCCGCGACCTGGGGAGTATTATTCCTCCCTGGATGTTAGGATCCACGGTAGAGACAGCGTGTTTACAATTTTGTAATATCGTCTCCCCTCTAGACATTTCCAGCAGTAACAAAGACGGGTGTACACCGTCTGCAATATAGGGAGAGATCATCCTCTCCGCACCTGGATATTAGGAACAATATCAAAGGGAGTGTTTATAACCTCTGCGATATTGGGAGTAATATTCTGTTCCTTTCTGGAACATGGGAACATCATCACTAGGGGGTGTACACTTTCTGCGATATTGGGAGTAACATCTGTGCCTTGGAATATTAAGGACAATATCACAGAGGGGCGTGTACATCTTCTGCAGTATTGGGAATGAGATTATCCTCTCTCCCCCCGGCAAATTCGGAAAGATATCAGAGTGGGTGTTCACCTCCTGCGATATGGGGATTAATACCATCTTCTCTCCTTCTGGATATCAGGAAGAGTATCACAAGGGGGTGCACAGTGTCTACGATACTGGGAGTAATATCAACCTCTCGGCCTTGAGATTTTACGAATATCCCAGACTGGGTGTACGCCTCCTGCTCTATGGGGAGTCATATCCTCTCCCTTCCAGGATATTAACTATCTCATGGCGGGTGAACACAGCCTGTGATACTGGAATTGTTCTCCTCTCCCCCTCTGGATACTAGGAACAATATCCCAGAAGAGCTGTACCTTCCCTGTGATATTGAGAGTAATATCATACGCTTCTTCTGTATTAGGAGCAATAGCACCCGGTGGCTGTCCATTCATTACTATGTTGGAAGTCATGTCATACAAGTCATGTCATACTCTTCCCCCTTAGATTTTAGGATGTGTCACAGGGTGGCACTGATATTAAAACTAATATAATGCTCTCCATCCCTGGATATTAGAAAGGACATCAGAGGTAGGTGTACACCCACTGTGGTATTAGGAATAATATGATTAATTATTAAACATCAATGGTCCATTTTAATGGTACTATTAAACAGGATATCATTATTATACATAATTTTAAATGATTATGCACACTTAAAATTAATGTCATTTAACAATATTCTTCAGTATTGATGTAACAATTGCTGATATAGTGATATTAGTATTAATACTAATTAACATTTTTGAACAGTAATTTTTACCATATTGTGATTAATATTGATTACTATTAATCTTATATTAATAGATTTGCTCCTGATATCCGGCAGAGAAGATGTTACTCCCAATATCGATGAAAGGGTATACCCCTCTATCATGTTATTCCTAATACCAGGAGGTAGAGGATAGCATTGAACCTATCGCAGTGGGTATACATCCCCTCGGTCATGTTGTTCGTTGTACCTGGATTGGGAGAGGATACGACTCCCAGTAACGCAGGGGGCGTAGACCTCCGCTGTGATATTGTCCCTAATATCCAAAGGTGGAGAGGATATTTCTTCTGATTTTGCAGGGGGTGTACACCACCCCCGTGATATGATTCCTAATATCCAGGGGGCGAGAGGATATTAGTCTCAATATTGCAGGAGGTGTACACTCCCTAGTGATATAGTTCCTAACATCCAGGCGTGGAGAGGATATCCCTCCCAATAGAGCAGGGGGTGTACACCCCTTCTGTGACATTGTTCCTAATAGCCAGTAGGGGAGAGGAAGATACTACTCCTAATATTGCAGGGGGTATATAGCCCCTTGTGATATTGTTCCCTATATCCTGGGAGGGAGATGATACTAGTGGTAATATCGCAGGGGGTGTAAACACCCTCTGTGAGATTGTTCCGAATATCCAGAGGGACAGAAAATGATATGACTCCCAATATCACAGGGGGTGTACATCTTCCTGTGATATTGTTTCTTACACTCAAGGGGACAGGATATTACTTCCAATATTGCAGGGGGTGTACACAACTCCTGCGATATTGTTCCTAATATCCTGAAGGGGAGAGCGTAATATTCTTAATATCCATGATGGGAGAGGATATGATTCCCAATATCGCAAGAAGTGTACAGCCGCATGTGATATAGTTCCTAACATCTAGGTGGGGAGAGGATATTACTGCCCATATCGCATGAGTTGTAAAACCCCTTCGGTATTTTGCCTACAATCCTGAGGGGAGAGGATGATATTGCGCCCAATATTGAAGGCATACACCCCCCCAGTGACACTATGCCCAATATCCATGTTGGGAGACGATGAGAATACGCCCAGTATCGCAGGGGATGTACACCCACCATGGGATATTGTTCCTTATATCAAGAGGGGGAGAAGTTGCTATTGCTCCCAGTAATGCGGGCTGTGGCTGTACACCCCTCCTGGGATACTGTTCTTAATATCCTAGGGAAGAGAGGATGATACTACTCCCAATAAAGTAGGAACATTACAGCCACTCTGGGATTTTGTCCTTAACCACAGGGGAGAGATGATATTACTATCAGTATTGCAAGGGGTGTACACCCCTCCTGTGATATTGTTTTTTATATCCAGGAAAGGAGAAGATATTAGTACCAATGTTGAAGGGATGGAGAGCCCCCATGGGATATTGTGAAGATACAGGTTGGAAGAGGATGAGATTCCATCCAATACAACAACGGGTGTACAGCCTACCAGTGATATGAGTCCTAAAACCTAGAAGAGAATGACATTGCTTCCAAACTACACGGGGTGTACAGCCACCCTGTGATACTGTTCCTGTCATCTAAAGGAAGAAATGATACTACTCCCGCTACCGGAGAAGGTACACAACCCCCTGTGAAATTGTTCCTCATAACTTGTGGGGGAGAGA